ATTTTACCTCTGCTTTTCTTCCATCGCAAAGCTACAGTTCCTGTTGGTTCACCATTGCTGATGTCATTGTATAAGATGTTGCAAGTATCAGTATGAGACATTGTAACTGTAAGATTTTGAAGGCATTTAAGGGATTGTGAAATTTTGGTTGATTGACCTGAACCCTCTTGTCAATTTCTCAGATTTTAACTCTGCTGCCTCATTAACATCCGTTAACACCCTCTAATTGATTACCCTGCTTCTTCAAATTCTATTGCTGCTTGTCTGATCCGTGTTTCTTTTTTTGGTTTCGAAAACTTGCATGACACAGACCTTGTAGGCCTCACTTTCGGTGTCTCCTTTGTTCTGTTGCGCACCTGCGTTGCAAATGGGGTTCAGGAGGGTATTCTCGAAGCTTTCAGAAAAACTGCATTTTCTTTTGCCCATATTGCCACTTTTTAACAGTTGGGAGATTAAAAAATTCCTGGGAAACCCATGCTATTTTTATTGTCAAGTTCCTGTTTCCTTATTTACTTTGAATGTCCAAGTCGTCTTTGGCAAGAATTTTAATTCATAGAATTCACTTTCAGGATGAAAACCATTCCTCAAGAACACTTGGTTTACTGCTAACACGTTGAGCTTTTTATTTGCATGGCATGAAATTTGAGCAGCGTGTGTCTCTTTCTTGCTTTCTCTCCCCTTTCTTTCTCTCACTCCATCCCGCCACCAACCCCAATTCCAACCGTCCATACTCTGTGTGGGTGTGTGCACTGTCTTTCTAGGAGAGGGCTAATGTTGAGGCTGAGCGTCAGGCCCTGCGGAGACTCCAGGAGGGCCATGCTGAGCTGAAGAACCAGCTGCATAACTGTCCCGAGTCCCTGCGCGAACAGTTACAGGAACAGTTCAAAAGGGTGGGTCGTCAGTCGAGCAGAAATAATCGAGTGAGCGAGTTCATTCAGAAATTTCGAAAACCACCAGTGGAATCAGGGACTCAAACCGAGACGCAGATTTTGAAAGCCCTGGTCCCTCCATGGCATTGTCTCCCATATAAAGCAGAGCTTAGTTACACAAATACTCATCACGATACCACAACCCTGCACAATACACAAATTAGGGTGGCTACTCGAGGTGCAACAAAAAACAATTTGAATCGAAAAATCTGTTTTTCTTTAAAAAATGCAATTGCGTCCAACCAAATTGTTGCACTTTAACTAAAATATATCAAGATGCATATTGAATCGTATTTTATTGGAGAGATCTACAGTATCTTGAAGGAAATGCCACATTTACAGTACATCCCAATGTATGTAAAATGATAGCAAGAAACTCATTGCATCATAGTCAATCAACCTAAGCCATAACATCAAATCGAATCCCACCGTATCAAACCAAATGAAATTGTTCTACTTTAAAATCAAAACGTCTTTGAACCGTATTGCACCTCATATATTGAGATACGTCTTTAATTGGAGAGATGCACACCCCTACTCATTCCATTAAAAAAATGCTTAGTTACCAAAAAAAGCCTTTCAAAATAGTTTAAAAATGAATGCATTTTCTCTCTGAAATTTGGCAAATTTGTCATAACTCGTACTGTAATTTGAGAGTTTTCAGTACTTTGATTTATGCTTTTCTTGGTGGACTCATCCAACTGTCTAGATTTCTTTCACTGAAGTGAAAATTAGTTCTTTACCCCTGGTTGGTGCATTGAAGTAAACTGGGAGGTCGAAAATTCATCCTTAACTCTGGAACACACCTTGCTGTCAGAGATTTTAATTGCGGATTTGAAATACCTCAACATTTTTTTTTTTTTTTTTTGTCAGAACTGCTGACAGTACAGTTATCCATTAATATGCAAACAAAGCAAATATTGCACTACCTTAACTTGGTTTTCATCTATGTTTTGTCCTGGTAAATTTGGATTTCCCAGCAGTCTTCAATACAGCATATCGGTAGTATATAAAAAAAGAAATTCTTACACCATTTAAAAGGAAACCTGAAAACAAATGAATATGAAAGCTAAAAAGCTAAGACAATACTTTGTCTTTGTAGTCTGAGTGCTGAACTTTGAAGCACAGTTGGCAAAGTAACCCACCCTCAACTTTGACATATCCTTTTGAAAATGCCATGCTCTTCAAAGCAACTGCTGAGGACCTTGTAGTTCACCCGTGCTGAATAAATTTTTGCTGAAAAAGAAGTCAGGATGACATGGCGTGCTAATGGTTTTGTGTGGCACATCATGCCTGCTTTGACTGGTCAAGTATTGTAAGGTGCACTGTAGCAGACACGATTGCAAAAAATTGACTATTTTTGTGAGAAGTCCTTGTAGTGGCCTTCACAAAGGTGAACATTTTTCTGACCCTATGATGCCACAACAACATGTTTTCTGCAACTCCAATATTGTCACGGAATCTCACAAATGGTTTCTGGTAACGTCAGCTCCTCCTGAGGTATGCTGGTAAAATCTGGCTCATGTGCATGTTCGCGCTGCACTGCATGTGTAGTTCTGATCTGCATTTCTTCAGCAATTTGTCATGGCCGGCTTACGTCTGTTAACCGCACACTAATCAATTAACATGGACAAGACTAAAGCTGTCCTGTGCCACCCCTCACCGTCATCCAGTTATTTAAATGACTATTGGTTCAAAAGTAAAAGATCATTGGTGTTTGTCTTGGTTACAATGTTAATCAATGTTGTGCACGTCAGTGACATTTTGTTTTACAGACTCTTGACGATTTAAAGCCCTGTCCAACAGGTCCACAACTGCGATTTCAAGAGTCTGTCTGCAGAATAGAAATATGTCTGAAATTGTAGCTATTAAAAGTACAGACATCTAATTTATTATTACAGAGAGGGTACAAAGAGAGTAAAGATAAGACGGTGTGCTAAATCATGGGTCTCAAACTCAATTTAACTGGGAGCCGCTGGAGCTAGGGCCTGGGTGAGGCTGGGCAGCATCAGGTTTAAAAAAATGCATTTATTAAAAGCAGAAAAAATATACAGACGCTCCCCAGCTAACGAACGAGATACGTTCCAAAGGATCGTTCGTTAGCTGAATTCGTTCGTAAGTTGCTTCAGTGCTATATTTTGTATGGAATGTATGTTTAAGGCTCATATAAGTATGTTTAAGGTTTATATAAGTATAATAAAATGAAGTGTAACTTACTTTTGGAAGATGTACTCGAAGGCTTGAGGAGGTGATGGAGGGGGAGGAGAAGGAAGAGGAGGATTTTATATCATGGGGCCGAGAGGGTCTTCGTCGCCGCTGGAATGGGCTTCAAGAGTTACTTCCTCCTCCGTAACATCAATGAAGGAAGAAGTTGAGGGTCCAAGAGAAGAAGATGAGGGTTGACGAGTATCTTCCTTGGAGGGTGTAGTAGAAACTGGCCGAAAGAAGCGATCTAATGATGATTGCACAGTTTTCTTCTTTTTCTCATCATAAATGATGCAGTAGCACTGTATGGCATCATTCATTTGATTTGCAACCTTTGTGCAATGTTCAATATTTGGGTCTTGCTGCTCGAAGAGTGCGATGGCTTTATCTATGAGCGAAAACCCCTCGGCCAAGAGTTCCGTCTCAAACTTCTTCATGGGGACAGGAGTTTCCTCCTCCTCCTCCTCCTCTCACAGCGCCTCACGTCGGTATTAGCGGTGGAAAGAAGTACTACAGTACTCGGAAAAAGGCGCGCAATACAAAATCTAACTTACAGCATCTCTGTCCGAGAACATTTTTCGACATACCTGTACCCGCAAAAATGTTCGTATGTACCGTTGTTCGTAACATGAATGTTCGTAAATCGGGGAGCGCCTGTATTCATATATTCTTCAATGCTATGGCTTCTGTTATACTCTACACTTTTTCAGAGCTTTTCCACAAGAAAAGCTCTGATAAAACATTCCACTGTTCTCAAATATCTTAATTTTTATTTTTCTACCCAAAATAAGATGGAAAAAAATTAATAAACAAATCAAAAACATAATTTCCACTGGTACTAGATCGACTCAAGGACCTGCGCCTGCATTTGACGTCGAGCACGGCACAGTTAGTGATTGGTTGAAGGTCAGAAACCATGGAAACACAAAGTGTGGTGGCCGTTTAATATTAAATAAATTTAAAAAAAGAAAAATAATCGGCTAGGAGCTAGCATGGAGCTAACGCTAACATGTACATATACACATAAAACTTCGTTTGTGTGTATGTAATAATGCTAGCCCCGTGTTAGTGTCTTAGCACTCATTTTCACCGTTCTTGTGCGTGTGCAACGTCAGGTCTGGTGCTTCGAAGCACCCGGATCCGGTGACAGCCACACTGGCGTGTTGTTTATCTGTTTAAATGTGTATTCAGCAGCAGCGGCAGGTTGTTTACATCCGTGGTTTACACGTGTATTCAAGCCCGTACAGGCGAGTGTTGGCACGGCCACGTTGCCGCTATAGTCCAGGTGCTCCGAAGCTGTCGACCTTATTTAGCACGGATGTAGTGCTAACAAATACAGCATCCATATCAAACTTGCGCAGGCCGCACTAACATTAAACTTTCACATCAAGGCGGGGGCCTCAAACTAGCATCCTGCGGGATGCATTTGGCCCGCGGGCTGCAAGTTTGAGACCAGCATACTAAATAAACACAATGTATAAAACATGTTACTATATTTTGTATGTGTGGGTTTTCTCCAGGTGCTCCAGCTTCCTCCCACAACCATGCTTCTTTACATTAACTGAACGTTTAAATTGCCCATAGGTGTATATATGACTGCGAATGGTCAAGTCCGGTCCAGAGCTTATCCCATCTCTTGTCCAAAGTGAGCCAGGATAGGCTCCAGCTCACCCATGACCACTAACGAGGACAAGTGGCTGTAAAAGTAGATGGGCTGATGTACTGATGCAAGATATTAATTAATTTTAATAGCTATTCTATATTATTTTAATTCTCTTTAAAACATGCCATCCAGATGTTAAAGTCAAAGTATTTTGTTTTGTTCTTGGAACCTAACCTGTCTGAAAATGATTTTGAAGCAGTATTGTTGGTGATTTAATCCAATCCGTCACGTGTGGCCATTTGTTAGGATGGAGAAGCTCTGGAAGCAGGAACCAAGAAATTCGAGGATCTGGAGTTTCAACAACTTGAGAGGGAAAGCAGCTTGGAGGAGGAAAGGGAGACAATGAGCCAGCAGTTGCTGCAGGAGAGAGCAGAGTACCACAGGACCGTGGCCAAGAGGAAGGTACGGAAGCCTACAACAGCTATTCCTTGACAGGATCTCTGAAGGCCGCTGCTTTCTTGAAACAGGTTACATGTTGTGTCATTAATCACAAACAGTATCTCCTTCAATTCTGATGAAATTCTTGGGGAAGATGAATTTGCCAACTTTTTCACTAGGTCTTGCAAATATCTATACCGTAAATTCTGGGCTACAGACCACGCCTGATTAAGAGCCGCATGCTCAGATTTATGAAGAAAAATCAATTTTGTAATTATATGCGCCGCACCGTACTATAAACCGCTGGCCAATGAGTAGGCGGGGGTTTGCTTCTGCGTCCCTGCCGCCGGGAGCG